TTCATTGGCTTGTTTTCATTAAACGTATAATAAGTTTTCACAGCGCGGCGATTGCGCAACCGAGAACAATTTTTAAACAGAGTGTCCGAGTTATGTTTGCTATTCGTACGGACATGGTATATATCTGACATTTTAAAGTAATTATATAAGATATCGATTTTAAAATACTATAATTTTGTTTAGGGTCAAATAATAATATGAATACGCTACAAACTTCCTGATTTAACCATGCACATTTAGCCCGGCATAGAATACATCATCGCGAAAAGCGACACTTTAATGAATTCGTAAACTCCAATGTCAGACACGAACTGCAACAATCAGTCACTACTATGTTCTCAATACCTGTTATGTTTAACACTTTTTGGATTTTTTTTGTGTATTATGAATTTATGATTAATCATTTTTTCGTGGAAATAGTCGCATTTCGGCTTATTTGAAATAGAAAAATCCATGTCCGTACGAATAAGTCACGCAGTCTATTCATACGAAAAAAGAAAAAGCAATGAAAAACGTAATTCAAAAWTTTCTWAAARTDATCTWGTTAACCGTGATTCGAAAAAAATAGTCGTGAGTCGTGAAATCGTCAAATTTCTAGCCGTGAGTCGTGATGCGTACCACCCCATTGAGACCCTCTTGTAGACTCTGCGTCCGACCAATTCGCCTGAAAAAGACGATTATCAAAGTTAATATGCGCTCCACAACCGGAGCTTGAGGCGTCCGAGTAGACTACTTTAACCGGTACAGTACAATGTCCCCAAAAAGGAACGCCATTCAGTGACTTCAGTTCGCGTTGTGCTGGACCATCGAGAACAACCCAAGACTTCCAGTTCTCCCTGCTGTTAATAACAAAATGTAAGTTACGAGACATAATTCGGGACACGTGTCCGCAACAAACCCCCAGGGAAATGATGCTCCCTACAATAGACGCCACTGACTTGACGCGACACAAAGTGCCGCCTGATGTGTCCTTCATGTCGTCGCATATACTATCCAGTAAGCCTTGTAACTTCTCAATCCTTCTCTCAGAGGCCTGTATAACACCCTCATTGGAATCGATCACGCAACCCAATCAAGTAATCCTGGATTGAGGCAGCCACGAGGACTTTTCTTCGTTTATGACAAAACCCAAATCCAGTAACGTGGTGCGGACGGTAGAGCTAAATGCGGCGCACCGTTGAAAATCGCTCGAAGCGCCGATTCCGTCGTCCAGGTACACCACTATCGGAATGCTTTGGGCTCTCCAATGGCAAACCACAGGTCTCAGCAGTTTGGTAAATATAAACGGCGCTGAAGATAAACCAAAAGGTAGCACTGTAAATTGAAAAAATCTGGGGTGAGTAGAATTATTCAAAGACCAGCTAAACGAGAGAAATTTTTGATGCTCCGGGAATATATCCAAATGGTGGTAGCCAGAGTTCAAATCAAAGTTAAAAAACAGGTCCCCAGTCTTTGATATTTCACATAAAGTAGCCAGATCCTCGCTTGCGGTGATGCTGTTGTGGAGCATTTCATTGTTCTTGGCAATCGAGGATGTGATGAGATCAACGATCTCCCTGTTCACATTGCTAAAGATGTTGTAGTATCATCAACAAACCTACGATCGCAGTCAGTCTTCGCCGGTAAATCCGGCTACAAAACTCGTTTCGCTACCCATCCAAATTTTCTAACTTTCTTCAAAATGACTGAGTACGTTGTACTCCAAGTAAGTCAAGTAAATTTCCCCGAAAATTGTCTCTTAGATCAGCTTTAGACATGTCTTGAGATTCCCCGGTTATTTCTTGGTCCGCCATTTTGAGATCCTGCTATTTTTTTCAGCGGCTATCTTTAAAAGTTAACAGGAAAGTGAGTGAGTGACACATCATTCCCCTCCAAATCTCCTCGATTGCTTACGCAATCTCCGAGTGAAAATGATCGTTTTGTAAAGGTACTAATTTGCATATATAAATGAGGTGTTACAACTTAAAAAGGGTCCTAAGGACTAAGACCCCTTTGATAACGCAACGGTTTTATATGCAGTCCAAAGCAAAAGATTTACAAATAAGACACCTTTTGAGCTGCAACTTCTCATCTCGTCCTTCACCAGCAAGAATGGGCTTAACCCTAACTCTACCGTAATGACTTGTCGCGCGAAAGGCTTGACGCTGAAGCCGTAACCAAAACCGCTATTGAAGTCCCTGTGCTATTGAGATCTGAAACCAACAAAGAATGTACTTTTTACTGGCACAATAAATGCCGAAAATTTAACCGCTGGGAGGTCCGTATAGGAAAAAACTGCCCGAGGTCTTGACAGTACGGAACGAGCGCAGCGAGGTCCGTACATAAAAGACCGAGGGCAGTGTTTTCCTAAATGGACCGACCTATAGCCGGTAAATAACATTTTTATTTGTATTTTATGCAACTTTGCTCGCAACCTAGATGCAGAATACCGTCTGACCGGGAAGGTCGTGAAAAAACGGAGCGCTCGCTAGCCAATCACAGCGCGCGAATAACTAGGATACCGGACAGAAAAAAAATAGATTGTGAATCCAACATGGACGCACTCTGCTATACAGACTGAAATCAAAACGGTGGGTTTTACATTTATGGTAACACATCTCTTGCGTTAAGGTAGAAAAAAAAATCGTCATTTATGTTCTATTTACACGAATCTGATATTTAAAAAAAGCATGACATGAGTGAACTCAAAATAGACTATCATTATAACAGTCCTTCATCTTAAAAAAATGTGTGACATATCACAAATGTGAAAATCACCATTTAATAAATTCATTTGTAATGGTTTTAAACAATGTTTTGCATCTGAACAGAAGAAAGACTAAGACCTTTACAAATGAAGGTACCTTAGGAAATTTCGGCATCTTTTTTCTTGAACAGCCGATGAACAGTCCTGCTCTCAAATGTTGTGGGTACTGAATTGTTTTATAAGCATATAAGACAGTCAGCCCAAAAAGAGATATCCATTTGTAACCGCGGGTTGAAATTGATATCTTAGTTGTTTACTAACACACAGACGAAACTAACCATAGGCTACCCAACTATTGCTTGACAGAAAGAAAAGAATGAACGCGCACGCTTTTATACTAGTATCGGCGCGCGCTCTTAGTGAAATGCGGATTACCTGTGGTATTACGTCACGATCCCGTGCCTCGCGGGATTCAAACAAGTCTGTGACAAGGTATGAAACACTGGTCACGTGATGGACCAATGTGCGCCCCAGGTAGCTTGTCTATCCCTCCCTATCGATTTTTTTCGTATGGACTTCGAGAGCTTTCGTAAACAGTCGTATCGATCGACATTTTTCCGATGGTCGACCGATAATGTCGCTCCCTTTCGTCGCTCCGTCGCTGCCACATATTCACTGCCATAAACATGGTTGATCTTTCATTGATTTTGCTCGGGTTTCTTTGTAGTTTTTGTTGGAAACCTACATATCAATGTTTTGAAACTTGACAGCTTCGTGCAAGAGATGGGACTGTGCATTGTGAGGAGTAATTACTTTAAGAGAAAACATGTTTTTCAAGACACTTGAGTCACCTTGAAAACCGAAGCAGATAGACGTCGTGGATTTTTACAGGTCTTAGAGTTGTTTGTTTATGACATAGATTTTAATAAAACTATGTTTATGAGCAGGAATCAAGCTGATGGAGTGAGTAGTTGGAAAAGAGATAAGTTATTTCTTTACATGTAATGATAGTTTTAGCCAGATTTTGTTTTGTTAGTGTAAACCCACGGAAAGATGGGTGAAAACTTGAAAACGCTTCGTTAAAAATCTGGTAAAATGAATTGTATTGCATGTACAAATTTGGTTGTTTACTAAAGCCAAGGTGACTGAGATCACTAACACTGTTCAAAATCATGTATATTTGTTCTTTGAAACTGTAATAAAGCTTTTCAATATTATCAATATGAACTGTTAACTGGATTAGATTTTTAATTTTATTATAACTAAGCTCATATTTGTCATGTTTTTACTAATGTTTCTTTTTCGGAACCTTGAAGACCTCGAAAGGTTTCCATATCTTATAACTTTTTAATTTGTTTTTGTTTATATTACATTTTTCCAGSGTGTTTTCTTTTCCTTTTTTTAAGAAAATTAATTTATCCTTGACTTTTATTTTCAGCTCGAGGAACTCACGAATGTTTTCCGAAAGCTCTCGAAGTCTATACGAAAAAAAAAACGATAGGGAKGGATAGACAAGCTACCTGGGGCACACATCGGTCCACGGCGAGTAAAATGCTTAATGTTCATTTTCTTGTCATGTAATGAATATTTCATACT